AAGCGGCCCTGGCAGCCCAGGACCGCCAAGCCCCAGGGTAAACCACCCTCGGCATGAAGGCCTACCCCCATCCCGGGATTCCAGGGTGGGGGGACGTCTTCGGCTCTTTGCGGGCTGCTGGCTGTCCCGCGTCTCCGACACATGAGTGCGGGAATTGGTGTCCTCGGGCTACAAAATAGAGTTTCTGTCGCGTCCCGAGGACAGGTTCTTCCCGTCCAACATCTGTCTCCCTCCTCAGCGCTTGGCGGACCTTCAGGGAGCGGTGGCGGGTCTTTTGTCCCAAGGGGTGGTGGTTCCGGTTCCCTCCTCGGAGAGGTTCAAAGGATTTTACTCAAACCTGTTTACGGTGCCAAAGAAGGATGGGGTTCGTCCCATCCTGGACCTCAAGCGGTTGAACGTCTTTGTGCGCGTTCGCCGGTTCCGGATGGAATCGATCCGTTCTGTGGTGGCGTGTCTTCACCAGGGGGATTTCATGGCCTCCCTAGACATCAAGGATACCTACCTTCACGTTCCTGTTTGTACCTCCCATCAACGCTACCTTTGCTAGAGGGGCGGGCCCTGTGTCCTTCAATGTGGGTGTGTACTCCTTTACTGCTTGTTACTAAACTGGAGACTTGTCAGCAGGTGGGGGGTTTGGCCACCGACAGGGGCCGCCCCTAGGCTGTAATTGGTCTTTAGTTTTGTGCCTAGCGTCCTTCTCCTGCAGGTGGCAATATTACCCTACAGTACATGATCTCCGATCTGTTCCCTGTGTCCTTCAATGAACGGAGAGAAAAGGATTTTCCGGTGAGTACCAAAATCCTATTTTTTTTTTTGCTGAAGCGACTTTAATCCTGTTTTGTTTTTGTTTATTTTTGTGTGTGTGTCTCTAAGACTCTCATTTGTGCCACTGTAATTAAGAGTACATTGTGAATACAAGAACTGCACCATACGTGTGTGGTGTATGTGTGACTAGGCTCCGACTCTATTGAGTCATGCCCAATATTCGGCGTAATTTAACCACATCCACTTTTTGTAAGGACTCTAAACTTATAAAATATTTCCTCTGGCCAGCACAGGAGGAGTCAGATTTTCCATGTAGGACCCCAGCAACTGGTAGACTGCACTGATGCCCCTGGATATCAATGCAAGCACTATAAGAAATTGAAGTTGAATCATGGGAATCTGTCACCTTCCCCCAATCAAGATAACATTCACTAAGATCATTTGATCCACAGTCATGCTGAGCATTCTTTTTAAATAGCAAAGCCCAAAAATCTGTAAAAGCCATTACAATGTCTGAATATGTACTTGATATACCTCTGTTTCCTCCTTATAAAGTGGACCTACAGTTGTGGCCAAAAGTTTTGAGAATGACACAAATATTAATTTTCACAAGTCTGCTGCTTCAGTGTTTTAAGATCTTGTCAAATGTTACTCTGATATACCGAAGTATAATTACAAGCATTTCATACATGTCAAAGGCTGTTATTGACAATTACATTAAGTTTATGCAAAGAGTCAATATTCGCAGTGTTGATCCTTCTTCAATTCAATTCTGCAATTCGCCCTGGAATGCTGTCAGTCAACTTCTGAGCCACATACTGACTGATGGCAGCCCTCTCTTGCATAATCAATGCTTGGAGTTTGTCAGAATTTGTGGGGGGGCGAGGGAATGGTCTGTTCACCCGTCTCTTGAGGATTGACCAGAAGTTCTCAATGGGATTAACCCCTTAAGGACAAAGGCCTTTTTTTTTCATTTTTTGTTTACATAATTCACATTTTAGGCCTGAAAATTACTTCAAAACCCCACATATATTTTCTGAAAGCCAAGACCGTATAGAATAAAATGGTGGCATTTGCAAATTTTTATGTTGCACGACATTAGCACAACTAATTATCAAACCCCAAATTTTTTTGAAAAATGCACTTAAGTTAAATTTAGTGCCCCAAAAACAATTTTAAAAAAAAGAATATAAAAGGTGGTTACAACAAGTAAATAGATACGCAACATGTCCAGGTTAGAAATTGTGTGCGTCTGTGAAACTGCGACAGAATTCAGTACCCCGAAAATTCCATACACAACGCTTTAAAACCTGCTACAGGTCATCAGTTTAGAGATATGCGATATTGGCCCCAGAATTATTGCTCTCACTCCGACGTGCGCGGCAATACCCAACAGGTGTAGCACAATCGTTGTTTTCGTATGTAAGCGCATGGTTAACAGAAGAAAAATAATAATTTTAAGCACCACCCTCCTTTTAAAGTTTCCAGTCTGTTATTCTAACTCAAATCAGCATGACATAGTCGTCTCCAGCCTTGTCCTCGTCAACACTGACACCTGTGTTAACGAGAGAATCACTGACCTGATGTCAGCTGGTCCTTTTGTGGCAGAGCTGAAATTATTATTATTATACAGGATTTATATAGCGCCAACAGTTTGCGCAGCGCTTTACAATATAAGGAAGACATTACAATCACAATACAAATCAAGACAAGATGGTAAGGAGGGCCCTGCCCGTGAGGGCTTACAATCTAAAAATGCAGTGGAAATGTTTTTTGGGGTATTAAGTTCATTTTCATGGTAAAGAGGGACTTTGCAATTCATTGCAATTGATCTGATCACTTCATAACATAACATTCTGGAGTATATGCTAATTGCCATCATACAAACTGAAGCAGCAGACTTTGTAAAAATTAATATTTGTGTCACTCAAAACTTTTGGCCACGAGTGGGCAGTGTATATTTTAGGTATGCACCTATACCAGTATTGGTGCAGATACTGGGCATTTTCATGAGTGTTCATACTCTTGAAAATGCCCCAATACCTAAAACTAAATTGATTTGGCTGCCTTAGGTTCCGCACTTGCTGGGAACCAAGCAGCACCTGCTTACAGTACTTCCACTGCCCACACATCTCCCCCTCTTGAGACCCTCTGCATGTCTCCCTCTCTTGAGACCCTCTGCATGTCTCCCCCTCTTGAGACCCCCTGCATGTCTCCCCCTCTTGAGACCCTCTGTATGTCTCCCCCTCTTGAGACCCTCTGCATGCCTTTGTAGTCCTCTAGACTTGATGGCATTCTGCATTGCTGTTTAATTGTATTGCTGGGATTTGTAGTCCTCTATAGGTGATGTTATTCTCTATTGCTGTATATTATCCTGCATTGCTGTATAATGTATTGCTGTTATTTGTAGTCCTCTATAGCTGATGGTACTCTCCATTGCTGTACATTATTCTGCATTGCTGTATAAGGTATTGCTAGGATTTGTAGTCCTCTATAGCCTGTGTCATTCTGCATTGCTGTGATTTGTAGTCCTCTGTAGCCAGTGCCATTCTGCATTGTTGTACAATGTATTGCTGGGATTTGTAGTCCTCTTTAACCAGTGCCATTCTGCATTGTTGTTGTAATATCTAAATTGCCTTGGCTTCCTGAAATAAGCTAACTTGCTATTCTCTGCTTCCAATGATGATAACGATACAATGGTTAAAAGAAGCAATGGTCTTATTTATTTATACACAAATCTAATCAAACATAATAAAAGATACAAACAGATACAATAAGACAATCAAGAGAATACTTTACACAGCAAGTCCGTCCTCTGGTTCCTATATCCTGGCTGGGCTCAAAGAGAGAGCAATATTGCCGCGCACGGACTTTTATACCCATTCATACACATACATCGACACCCCCTTTACCCAGAATTCCGCATGTCCCTTAAATGTCTTTCGGCCAATCGGCATGGTCCTTCATATTTATCCACACGCACTGTAGTCCTCCAGCAGGGTGAACCATCGTACTGCAGATCAGTCCTTGGCCTAGGTCAACACCTTGTCCTTTGATCTTTAGACAATGGCCAGTCACATTCATATGCAAAATCCGGATATCTTGACATGTCTTCCCAATGTGCCTACACCCTTATCAACACCACAGGGTGCAAAGCTTGATGTCTCGTCCCGATGAATGAATGTCACCTTTCTCATCTCCCCCGCCATGCCCCAGGCATGAACAACACACAGTTGGTCTCTTTGATGAGCAATGCAATCAAGATTTGAAGATATCTGTTTGGCAGCTTTCATACCTGAAAATGTTGTACACTCCAACAGTTGTACAATGTATTGCTGGGATTTGTAGTCCTCTTTAACCAGTGCCATTCTGCATTGCTGTATAATGTATTGCTGGGATCTGTAGTCCTCTATAGCCTGTGCAATTCTGCATTGCTGTATAATGCATTGCTGGGATTTGTAGTCCTCTGTAGCGGGTGGTACTCTGCATTGCTGTACAACGTATTGCTGGGATTTGTAGTCCCTCTTCAGCTTGGAGTCCGTGACAGAACTACAGGGGTTGTAGCTGGGACCAGGCCCTGGCACTTCACCACTGTCCTAAAATCATTAGTCTCTATTGTTTTAGAAAAATCCGTAATTGGTATTGGGGAGTACTTGAGGAAAAGTATCGTTACTCGTAATCTGGCTGCATAAAATGGTAACAGTGCATCCCTAGTATATTTATTTGATCTGGATTCATTATTGAAAAAAGTTTGAGAGTGTAATACTGCTTTCCATGGGAGTATCGGTGATATTTGTACAATATCCTCTTCGTACAATATCCTCTTCGTCATCACAAGCAATGTGATTAATGTTTTATGTTCTTTTAAAAAAAAGTGACTTTACTTTTCTGTAGTGTCGGTAGCCAAAGTCTGAACATTTGCTGTGGAAATATTTGTGTTATTGCAACACTGTGTAAATATGTCCTTCACCTCATTCCTAAAATGAACAGATACAGCAGAAGCACATATTTACCTGTACATCGTTCACGTATCTTTCGTGCTCAGGAGCCCCAATAGCAGCTGCTCGGCTTCTCTCTCTACGTACACAGAGCGAGCGCCCTCCGACACACACGTGACCACCGCCCACCGCCCACCATGCGCCAACCTATCCGAGCAATGAGACGATGGATCATTTGTGGGGGGCGGGCCTCAGGCCGTGACATCATGGAGCGGGGGCGTGACCTGGGATAGACACATCAGGGCAATGAGTGTTGTAGGAAATGACAGAGCCGGGGGAGAGTGCATAGAAGCTGACTATACACGGCCTGCACAGTCCGGGAAGGTGAGTGTATGTGCCGCGAGAGACACCACCGACCGGGAGAGTGGGCCTCGTGGGTCATCACTTCCTTATCCTTGTGTAATACTGATTGCATGTAGGCTGACTGATCACTGCACGGAGATTTTCTGTCAGCTTCATGCCTGCTCCTCCCTGTCCTTAGATGTCTGTGTGTGTGTATATCCCCCGGAGCACACGTGCGTTTTCATCCTGTGAAGTCTACTTGTTTTTGCTGCCCTATTGGGATCTGACTCTGTGATCTCTCTTCCATCTACCTGATCTCTAGAGGGAGATGAATATGGCTCAGCTATGTGTAGTGTTGATGTGGCAGTGGCATGGTTACTTGTATGGAGCTGGTGTAAAAGGGAAAGCTGCCTGTCACTGCTGTTAGATAAAGCTGTAAGACAAACATCTGTTGAACTAATAAATGAGAACTCTGTAAACTCGGCCTTGGACTTCTCTGTCATTGTAATGGAATATGATAAGATATTTGTAGAAGTGATAACTCGCACCTGCTGTCTTTGTGATAGAGGGAGAGCTTGTGCTGGTTTCCAGAAGAGAATAACACCAAAAATGTCTTTATTTAACAATGTACTGCCAATTCTAGTATACAGATGTAACATGTTCTGCCACTCTTCCTATAGACCACTCTTCAGGCCGAGCACCCTTCCACTCTTCAGGCAGAGCACTCCTCACTTCAATCACCCTTTCACCCTTCTTGTCGACCACCCTTTCTTCTAGACCACCCCCTCCACCCTTTCTTCTAGACCACCCTTTCTTCTAGACCACCCCTTCCACCCTTTCTTCTAGACCACCTCTTCCAACCCCTCTTGTAGACCACCCTTCTTCTAGACCACCTCTTCCACCCCTCTTCTAGACCACCCCTTCCACTCTTCTTCTAGCTAGACCGCCCTTCTTATCGACTGCCTGTGCACTGTTCCTATAAATCACCCATTCATTCTTCCTGTATTTAAAGGAGAACTATGAGGTGAGTGCTTTTCACTCACCTCATAGTTCTAGCCGACCTGTGACAATGAGACTGTCACAGGTCTGCTCAGTAGATCGGGAGGTGAGCGAACACATACCGGCGTTCGCTCACCTCTCGATCCTGTCACGGCTCTCTGCCGTGACAGGGGAGGGGCTGGATTCCCCCCTCCCCGCTCCGATGCGCCAGCGCTGACTGGCGGAACAGACGGAGGAGGGGGCCGGTACAGCTGGCTCTGCGGAATACTGCGGCGTCTCAGTATACCGCGAGCTACAGCTCGCGGTATACTGAGCTTAGGGTGACGGGAGGACGCTAGTTTGTGTCCTCCCGTTACCCTAAGGAGAACTATGGGGAAAAGCCTTAACCCCATAGTTCTCCTTTTAATAACCTGGTGTGATGATGCAGCCAATCAGAAATCCCTTTTCTTCACTCTGTCCTTAGTCTTGCACACACTTGCATTTTTGCACACAGCAGTTATGTAATGTGGGGTGTGTGATGCTGGCATTCTGCAATGCATCTGTCAAACAAGGTGAAGATCACATCTCTTGTACATGTTAGGGGAGCAATCAGCACATGTTTGATAAGAACAGAGTGTTCAGATCCTTCAGGATAAAGGTGCAATGAAGACGAAATCTTCATTTTGGTGTTGCATAAACACAGGATACGTGGTGTTACATAAATTCTCTATAGGTTGAACTCGATGGACTTTTTTCAGCCTGACTAATTATGTAACTATGCAATAAATGCAGGGTCTAAAACTGGCCACCTTACAATTATCTGCAGATTTTCTGTGGTCAGATGGAAAAGGGGCAACAGATTCCTCCATCTATACTTAACTGTGTGGATGGAGTAATCTCCACCCAGGCCAATCTGTTGCACTTTTTCCATCTGACCACAGAAAATCTGCAGATAATTGTACGGTGTATGGGCACCTTTAGGCTACATTTTTCCAGCCTCCTGCATATGATTGATTTACCGCAGGAGAAATGATCTGGGAAGTATAAAAAAAGAGTTAATGTTTTCCAGATCCGGTTCTCCTGCTCTAAATGTAATTGCGTTTACGTGCATTTAGATGCAATGGGAGTATCTACTCTGCTCCTGGATGCACAGAATTCAATTTGCTCTAAATGCAGCTAAACTGCATGCACGTGCAAAGTGTGAACTATACCATTAAAAATCATTATATTTATTTGTAAATGTCTTCTAAAGGCATGTAATCTGAGGTTTGTCAATGCCAGTGTGAATGAGGCCTAAAGGTATCCACGGACAGATCTGAGCTAATAATCGCCTGATCTGGCCCATTTTAGCACGTAGCTACAGATGCCTTCTGCTGACCTTCAGATTTTGGAGTTGTATGTTCTTAGGTGACTGGTAGTGATATGCAGTGACTTGGTGGTAACCGAGTTTGCCCAAGCAAGACTTAGTGACACACCCCTCTCCGGAACCCAATCGATGGTGGCTAGGGCATTCCTGCCCACAGCTGCACTTATTAAAGGGATTGGGGAATGCTCTGCAACAGATTGGGCCAGGAAAGGGGTGTGCTACCCACCACAGTCTTGGATGAACTTTGTTCACACCAAGCCCACACACATCCCAAGTGACTGGTAAGTTAACAGATAGAAGGCAATTGGGAGGGACTGGCTACTCTCAGCTCTCTTTCCTCCCATGAAACTGGACATACATACATGCATGTTTATAGAACTAATGCTAAAAATAAAATAACATGGTGACCAATTGATGAGCCATCATCTAAAATATGTGACTGGAGTGTTGTCCATTTACTGGTTCTTTTATCTATTTCTGTCATGTAGACAACCCCTTGTGTAACCAATGTCTGTAAACACTCTCAAGCTGGTGGTGACGGGAGATGACTTTGGTTACTGTCCTCGCAGAGATGTTGGCATCTTGGAGTGTTTCCGTGCTGGAGCTATCTCTAATGTATCTTTGCTGGTCAATGGAAACTCAGCAGCTAGTGCAGCTAGCTTAGCAAACAGGTGAGAGACAGATGATGTGTTGTGTGAATATAAGACTAAGGTTTTAGCTAATGCAGTCATGCTTACCTTTGCACATACTTTATAGTCAACCAACATAAACTTGTGGGATCTTGCGTCAGCAGTTGCCACGTTTGCATGCTTTCATAGTATTTATCATCCCAAGTGTGACTCCACACCCAGCTAACAACCCTTGTATTCCTTATCATCAGGGTATAACAGATGTTCAGAAGAAACACCTAGTAAAACGTTATTAAATGGTCAGTCCAGTAACAACTGATCATTTAGTTTTGCACAGACATCTGGTTTTTCATCATTCAGGTACTCTATTTGGGAGATAATATGCACTTGAATTCCCTGGTCTGTGTAGCAGCTGTGCCCATAACCAGTGGGTGATCTTCCCAAATCATCTTCTTTTACAGCACATTAGAGACCAGCACCTCCTCTACCAGGAACAGGAAACACATCACCACAAACCTTTAAAGGAAGTCCTTCTACAGCATTGGACAGTGTTTTGTGTTTCCTGTGTCCGGAAAAGATATAATTGGAACATGGTAAAAGGCAGATCAGCCCAAGGCTCTCATCTGCAGTCCCCCTAGCACCCCCTTTTTTCATCACCTTCCTTGGTGGGGGGTGGTCTCTCGTCCATCTTTGCTGCGTAAATTGTCGGCGCTATATACATACCTGTAATAAATAAATAAATAGAAGTAGACTTAATTTAAAAGTATTTGGTAGATCACAAAGAGTAAATATGATGCACTTCACTTGCATCCTATCCAGCAGACTAAAACTTTATATATATATATAATATTTTTTTTTTTTAATATACCACTATGTTTTTTTAGATGTTGGCTTAAGAGATGGATGCCCAGGTATTTTATTACCATGACTTCTCGCTTTCTCCCATATCCCTCATATACTGTACTTTGTAGTCTTCCTTCATTTTTCTTGTTTCTAGAGGATTTCTCTCTCGTGCACATAATGAATACACATGTGTAACATACAGGTACATGTATATAGACATATACCCACTTAGGGCTCAGGAACCCTAATAATCTAAATGCATTCAGTTTACCAATATCCGTTTGGCAATTGCATCTGCGTTGTTCTTCAGGGACAGGGACTCGCAATATATTAAACCTAGTGGATCAGCACAGCAGCCTGTCAAAAAGCATTTTTAGAGTGAGGTGAACAACGGGCACACTTGTATTTCTTTCATTGTAAGTTTACTGTATTATATGGAACCAGTTTAATGTATAGTTTCATGGGACCTCAGTGGCTATTAAGGTATTCACTGTGTGATTTTTGCCACCGCAATGAAAGGGGATAAATCAGCAGGATTATCTGTTTAGTATGACTACCTCATCTGACCTAGAAAAAGTGCGTCACAGATCTGTGTGAATCAAGCCAACCATTAGTTCCATGTACTTTTATCCTAGTACAAGTTTGCTTGGGTCATACAAATAAGAGAACAAAAGTCTTTTATTGTCTGACACAGGATGATACGCAGGCGTGATGTTCTAAAATAAAAACTGTTTGCCTTTTCCAATTAGCTATAATATGCCAATTGGTCTGCATGCCAATCTCTCAGAAGGAATCCCAGTATGTGGAGAACTTCAGCACAATTCCACCCTTGTCAGTGCTCAGGGGGTCTTCCGTGGTAAGATGGGCATCCGAAAAGCATTAGCACAAGGTCTTCTCAACATGACAGAGGTGGGTATATGATATATAATGATTAGATGGTGATTTTCTGTACCAATCTGTTGGTAAAATAACCAAAAGTATATAGATATTACTTACCACATGTTTACCTGGCAGGTTCGCCAGGAGCTGTGTGCTCAAGTCAGACTGTTCCGGGAGTTGACAGGACAGAATCCACAGCATATGGATGGACATCAACATGTTCATGTGTTACCAAGTAAGCTATGGGGAGAAAACCATATATAGGAACCTGCAAAAAAGCATAGGACCTTATGTATCAATATGTGTGATGGAGCACATCTAGAGTTACTTCTTCTTGGCCAACAGTCAGCATTAGGCCTGCCTTAAAGTGTATGAATAGCCAAAAACATTTGTTTTGGGTAGAGAAGGGAAGGGTTAAAACCCCTCTGTTTAATTTTTCCGGTCTAAGCACCATTGGGGAAATTTCCCCTCACTAATTATCCCAGACCCAACAGGAAATCTCCCTCTTAGATCGGTGTCACCATCACAGATGTCCCCACTGGAAGATTTCCCCTTACCTCTTCTTTTGGGGGCAACTATAAAATTTCCGATTTTCTTCATTGGGGACAATGGTCACCAGTACAATTTTATAAGGGCGAATCTTCTTAATGTGGGCACAGGCACAAATAAAAACTTGACACTATGTCTCACTCATCGCCACTCTATCCAAAACTTAAAAGAAATAAACATTTGCCTAGACATACTCTTTAAAAGTCTGGAGTTATCAGTCATGTTAGATCTCCCCACCCCCACCTGAGATAGGATGGCTAGTGCTGCCAAATGCTACCATAGTTGTGAGATGGTCACCCTCCTCATTCCTTTGAAAAAGGGACAGATTAGTCAGTTGATCATCTCGTGTGTTCCTGTGGAAGTAGGTTTACATCGGTGTGACTGGATTCAGGGAGAACTAATGGAGTTTTACAGAGGTGTGAAGGAATCATTTTGAAGGAATCCTCCCTGAGAAAAATATAGAAGGCTGTGATTGCTGTCATTGACCTGAAACAAATATGCAAGTCAGTAAAGTCAGAATTCCCTATCTGCTTATCTGTTCTGGGTTAGCACCCAAAAGTACTGAAGCAAGAGGCTTAGCATGACAGCCAGCCAGGCAGGAAGAAGTTGCAGCACCAGAAGCCAGCATTGGCTGCCTCCATGTTTTTCTTAAGAAAGTGTTTTTATAAGGGTAGAGCACTATTTGTATTATTTTACCCTATTATATACACTCCCCGTGGATGGATTCTCTCCTGATCACTGCAGTACAGAGCAGATGTCACCGCTGTGACATCAGTGTCCATACTGTTTTTTTCCTGCAATCACCAAACCCCATGCCAGTCTATGTGGAATCGGATGTAAACGGACATGTGTCAGTTTTACATATGATTACCCCAGATCCGGTCCGATGAAACGGATCTCTGACCCGTTTGTTTTTCCGGACCTGGCCAGAGGCGGGGGTAACGGGTGTAAACGGACGCCCATCCATTTACACAGGGCTGCTTATAGACTTGCATTGAGCATCTGATCGGGTCTGCCTGAAAAACTAATGGGTGGACCCAATCGGACTGCCCATGTGAAAGGCATATTTGCGTGGTATTCCGTTAACCTACCTGTGTGCTTTTCTGTTTGGCAAATGTGATGTTTATTTATTTATGGATGGCTGAGAAACTTTACAAACTTGGCTTGCATGGTTTTGTTATAAATCAGAAGTGGGGGGAATGGATTTTCGTTTTAAATGTACACTTATCTATTTAACAGGAATCCGAGAGGAGTTTGCACAAGTGCTGCATGAACATGGGATCCCCTATACCCGTGTTCCTGTGGAAATAGGTTTACATCGGTGTGGCTGGATTCAGGGAGAACTAATGGAGTTTTACAGAGGTGTGGAGAATGATGCCTTAAACACAGTGGACGTTTTCAAGAATCATGGCATCCGGTGAGAATTGCTGCTGAATTTATGGAGTTTACAGGGACCTCCATGTGGCTATATTATGGGATCAGTACTGAAGGTCATTGATTACTAAGAGGAAAATAAAAACTGAGAAAGTATTGCATCCAGAGGATCGATATAACGGCCTATCGGCAATGGCAGCCCATGTATTTCTCTTGTGAGGTTTATTTTAAGCGCCGCTGCATGAGGTCTTCGCCCTGGAACTAGCGTGGTTCATGAGTCTAAAGTAAGATATACGCCTGTGGGATGAACAAAGAAAATATAACCGATTCCTCCATCCATATTGACCGATTCCTCCATCCATATATAGAGTGGATGGATGAATCTCCTGCTGTGAGCTTTGTCGTCTGACAGCAGCGACACCCACTGTCAGAATACCCAATGGGTGCTTGCAGCTGATTTGGCTGCAAGCACCGCTCAGTCGAATTTCCAACGTGTTCCTTTGGCTAAAGTCGCTCTAAAGATTGACTACTGTTGAAGGGATAGGGTCACCAACGGAGCAAATTTGGGCCAGATTCATTCCGTGTGTACCCAGCTTTAGAATGGCAGCTTCCATCAAAGGCTTCCTAAAATGTACTTTTGTAAAATGGTTCCTTTTAAAGAGAGCCAATCTGTGTTATTAGACTTTTTTGAATACTTGTATCAATATTTAGATATATATTAGGAATTTGAATATGCCAGATGACCCCGCTCGGAGCGCCGCACACCGAGCAGCAGTGACGCGACGCTCGGCGAGGTAAGTAAGATGACGCGCTGGCGCTGACTCGAGTATAAGCCGAGGGGGGCACTTTTCACCCAAAAAAATGGGCTGAAAATCTCAGCTTATACTCGAGTATATACGGTAAGTTATTAATACTGTTCTAGTTTATTTTATAAACTTTCTATATTTACCCTGTTTTTAGTCTTACTTTTTGGCTTCAGAGTCAGAAGTTACCTTAATAGAGAGCCGTGACAGGATTGAGAGGTGAGCGAATGCCGGTATGTGTTCGCTCACCTCCCGATCTACTGAGCCGACCTGTGACAGTCTCATTGTCACAGGTCGGCTAGAACTATGAGGTGAGTGAAAAGCACTCACCTCATAGTTTTCCTTTTTAATGTTCTTTCTATTCAAGTATTTTTTACAACTTTTTTTGTTTTGTTTTTGTTTTGGATAGAGAGGGAAAGGGTGAGAACCTGTCTGATTTTATTGCTATCAGGGGGCTCCATTAAATAAAATGATCATCACTTCCTGTCCTGCTGACAGCATTTTACTAGACAGGAAGTGAGGCTAACTCTCCAAAAAAGCACTCACCTCATAGTTCTCCTTTAAGAGTGTCAGTTGCTGTGCTTATAACCAGCTGACCCCACACATTTGTCTCTCAGTATCATAACTAGAGGTGCACCGAAATGAAAATGTCAAAAACAAAACCGAAATGGAAAAAAATGTCAGGCTGAAACCAAAACCCACATTTTTTTTTTTTCTAACCTTTTCAATTTTTAAAAAATGATTTTATTTTTTGATAAACGTTTTAAACTTTTATATATTTCGTTTTTATTTTTTTACTTTACTGTCGGGGGCTCTGGGAAAATATATTGGGGATCTAAACAGACCCCTGATATTTCCATTTTAAAATAGAAAAAGGAATTGAGAACACAGAGTCCTCAATCTCTCTTTCTGTAGCCCCCGTTATACATGGACAGGAATGCTCTATACTGAGTGTCCCTGATCATTCATAACATGTGGAGATAGAATGTTTACCATGTCCACAATCTTGAATGAACAGGAAGTGATGTAGCTCATCACATACTATGTCATCAATTATTTTCCAACACTCAGAGATTACTGATCGCTGAGTGCTTGTACCCGCTCTCCATCCTGACACGCTGTCACAGGAGGCTGAGCGAGCAGTGCAGGGAGGAGAGCTCGGTCTCCTCTGACAGGTGACTCCTCCTCCGTCGGCCCGGCATCCTGTGACAGCTGACAGTTGTCTCCGCCCACACCCCCCTGCTCTCCTGATCTGTCACAGATTGCTGGGTGGTGCGGGAGGAGAGCTCAGCCTCCTGTGACAGATCAGGAGAGTGGCGGTTTGGGAGCAGAGTCAGCTGTCCCACATCGCTGCTTTCCTAGTCTGTCACAGGAGGTTGAGCGGTGTGGGAGGAGAGATGCTCACATCGCTCTCCTCCCGCACCGCTCGGCCACCTGTGACAGTTTCTCTCCTCCCTGCTGGGACACAGAGCAGCGCCCAGTGGGGAGGAGAGAAAACAAGGGTGCACCGCTATTTTGGGGGAAAGATGGCACTTTCGGCATTTTGCCAAAAGTGCCATTTTCGGCCGATATGTTTCGACGGGGGAAATTTCAATGCATCTCTAATCATAACAGCATGAAATAACAGAGCCCTGTAGTTGTCTGCATTGCACCTAATGGGGGGTCCTACTATTGACATGACCGTGTAAAGAGTGTCAGCTCATTCTTTAATGCATCATTGTTCAGGCCACTGACTTTAAAGTTATTGACACCATTGAATCAGAATGGCAGCCAGGCCAGTAGAATTTCAGTGGCAGTCTACATGTTTCTGTGAACACGTTCTTTGTTCAAGGGCGATTATCAATGAGTAGTCCTTCACCTGGAAAGTGAAGGCAGCAATAAAGCTGCTGGTCCTCTTTGGAATGATGGATCAGCGGCAACATTTTATCCCTGGCTTAGACAGTATTTGACTGTGGTGGATGTCAGGATATAATGATCCTGAAATCTTCCAACATGTAGACAGTTGAACTCAGTGAAGAATAGCAAGCACTTCTATGTGGGAATACAGGGCCAGCTTTGTTTACTGTACATAAAACCTCGACTTATATCTTGCTAATTTCTTGCTTAACCAATTAAAGGCAAAGTTGGCTCTTTGGAAATAAATTGAATATACGCGCTCTTCTTCATGAAAGAAAAATGTACATTTTATTATGTTTTTGTTTTGGAGCCAGTCAAGCATTGCAACCACAATCAGTGGATCACAGGTGCAATGCTTTGGCTCCTGCAGACTCTTTCTCCCCTGTCCGAGGTATGAGCATTCAGTAACATGGACAGGAGGAAGAATGCATGGTCTACAAGTGCGGTGATGTTGCAATGTTACCATGTTTCACCCTGAATATGTGTGTAACGTGGAACACATTACAAAAGGTAAACTTAGCCTTTAGGCAGTGTATAGAGCAGAGTTAGGCAGTCTCAGCCCTCCAGCTGTTGCGGAACTACAAGTCCCATGAGGCCACAGCCATGACTCCCAGAGACAGATGCATGGTGAATTTGTCGTTTCAGCATAGTTGGAGTGCCAAGGTTGTCTACCCCTGGTATTGATGATGATCAAGGTACAGAGACTGTTGGCGATCAATCTGAAACTTTTTTTTGTGTCTTGGGTAGAGTGGAGATGGTTAGAACTTCTGTGCGAGGAAAGTGCGAGGAAATTGCTCTCATGGGGACACAACCATTTTCAATCTACTAGAAACGGTTTCACCCCATCTCTGGCCCTATTGGGGGCATTTCCCCTCACTTTTGTTTAGGCTGACATTTGTCAGGCTGTCAGTTTTGAAATTTTCCTTCACTTCGTGTTCTGTGAAATAGACAGGAAGTAAGGGAACATTTCCTAAATGAGGACACAGCCAGCAATGAGAAGATGGTGCAGGTTTAGCTATCCTTCCACACTAATCAAGAAATGGAAAAAAAAGATTTGGCATTTTATTATAATGTTAATATCCTTTCCTGTTTCTGCTTTTTATTGCAGGTGGCCAGACCTATATATTGGTCTTAGCACAATGGGAAAGAATATGACCATAAGTAACATTCAGCAAGCCTTGGACTATAGTGTTGAGTCTCTTCAGAGCTGCCAAGCCCCACACAGTCCGCCCTCCCACTCCCGCACCAGTATCAGTATTGAACTAATGACTCATCCTGGCTACCCCAGCGTCCCCCCGGAAGGAGGCTGTGGAGAAGGTCCGGATGACTTCTCTCAATCATGGGAGCGTCTGCACGAAATGGAAATCTTGAAAAATCCCCTACTGCACAGTTACTTCAGCGAGAAGGGGGTACACTTGTGCTCTTTTAAGGACCTTTAGTCTTTGGGAGAGAGACAATGGGTCGGTGATGTCATGTGACTTCCTACACTTTACAGTGAACGGTGCTATAAAAGAACAGCCAGAGTGAACTGCAGATATAAATTAGGTTTTGTCTGTATGAATTTTAAATATATGCAGCCACTACATAGAAGCAAATCATATATTACCTCAAACACTATCCTTTTTAAAAGACATCAAACTACATCTACTGGTCGTGTGTAAGTTAAAGAAGAACTGCGGGTTTTCATTTGCAAGGGTTAAGTGCCTGTTCTGGTCTAGGGGTACAAACAAGAGGGTTAGTTTTGTAATTTCTGCCGTTCCTCTTTAACAAACCTAACTAGTGATAGAATAAAATTTGTAGGTACATCTCTTTGAAATCAGGGTCAGAAAATTGAATGTTTGTAATGGCTTTATAGAAAAAATGTTTGTCCTAAAACAGCTGCAATCCACATTACCTCTACTGAAGCATTGTACGTAGATTAAATATCAAAGAGCAAAGGGACAAAACTATCAGCACTTTCTTGCTAGTCGAAGAGCAATACGGTTACCATTAGGTGTACTGACTGCAAGTGTGCAGTTTTCTTACGATTATGTTCCAGTGCACTATTGTTTGTCTTTTGTGTTGCATGTAACATACAAAAAATCACCTCTTTCTAATTTTGTTTGTTTTGAGAATTGCTCAGTATTTTCAATATTGGGAATAATGTGCCAAAAAAGACTGTAAGAAGGAAAAACTGTTTGTTTTTGTTGCCAATTGCAACAAATATTTTCTAAGGACCACTTGAAAAATTACACCTGGAATCTGATTGTCATGGACAGCAAGAACAGTTTTCCCTTCATCCAGTCTTTTTGAATTTGGCCCAATGTCTTTTTTGATTTTTTTTCCCCCTCTTTCATTTGTTTCCTATATTTTTGTGGTTCCATCCAAAGCTCTATCAACACAACAACAAAGTATTTGCAAAGTGTTGCTGCATGGGGTTCATCAGGCCCCTTTCACGCAGGCACCTTCAGTTCTGATCAGGAGGGAGCCTCTGCACGGATCTTCTCCTGATGGGAACAGATGACACCATTGTTAGGGATTTATTTTATATTATGTAGATTGCAACAGTCAACACTCAATAGTAAGTGGGAACACCCAAAACTCCTATGTAGTCAGTAGTTGTGGCATGAGGGTTCTGGCTGTTGAAGTATCCAAGATCTAGAAGTACTGTAAGAGAGATAAGGCCGGACTTGGTGCAAACTCAGTTCTCCTGAGATCACCCAAGCCCACTTAAAATTCTGACCACCACTCCCTCCTCCTGATGTATTTGTCTTGTCCCCGGTACAGAAAATGGTGGGAGATCCAAAATTTTAAAGCGGTTACTGGAACAGGAATAGAGGTGAAATCTTCCAGTAGGACCCATGTTTTGGTGCTGTAAGAGGTGATTTCCACCTCCTGTAGAGAAATGTCCTCTTACTTCCTGTTGTCTTTCAGGACAGAAGTGAAGAGAAAACGACACTGCAAAAAAATGAAAATACTAATTAAATGTTTTGACTTTAGAAACACTTCACAATGATGAACTCTTTACTGAGGGCCCATTCACACCACATCCAGATCATCTCCAGACCAGATTGTTTCTGGACCCAAAATGCGTCCTAATGTATCCCTATGCTACTTGTGGCCTCTGTTCACACCAGCACAGTCCGTTCCACACCAGACCAGAAATACTGCTTGTCCTATTTTGTCTGGTCTGGAACTGTGGGCAGGCTCACACCATTTTCTGGACCAGATCTGGTCCAAAAATGGTCTGAGCCTGCCCTTTTATAAGGATGTATATTCTAGTTCTGGTGAGTTAGATTACTGGAAGAAGTTGGTACTGATGAAGTAAGGCAAGAGCTTCAAACCAGTTTTGTGTTCAGCAATCTGTGTTGTTAACCACAGGCCATACTTTAACCGGATCTACTGCTTTAGGGTTTGCTGAGGTGACACAGATTAGACTGTAGCAAGAACTATTTTACTCTTCCTTGTTTATACTAGGTTACGACATATAGTATTGCAAAATAACCCAGTTGATTAACTCGTTTAGGCTCTCACTGCAGGTTACAAGTGATATGTCTACAGTGCAGCTAGATACAGGAAAGGTTGCGTTAACATATGTGTGGGCTTAGGGTTTTAAAAAAATAGTTTTATGGTTTTGGGTGCAGAAAAGCATTTGTTTACCAGAAGAGCAGGTGCTTGAAATGTTATTTCACAGACCATTTTTATTATTTCTACTTCTCTTTTATACTGTCTGTAGGCTTGATTTACTTCAGATTATGGTTTCTGCTGAGCCTAGTGAGCTTGTGTTAATGTCTAATATTCTGCTATGTGCAGGTGAAATGATGTTTCCCCAGCATATCATTTGGTGGTCATTGTAAAAAAAAATCTTTGGGGAATAAATACATATATTTTTCATTTTAGTAATGTATTATTATTTAAGTTCTTCTATAAGGGGAAACAATAAGGCCCATTTAAAATCACTATAATTTCTCCCTCCTGCCTCTTGCATGTTTGTAGCCAAATATAGCTGAACTTCAGATCAAAACTTTTTCACATATTTGTATAGGGCGTTTCTTACCTTTTTTAGGCAATTTGTTCAGTGCAGTCACCCACCCACTGGGAAATGTCATCTTGTCTCCAGGATAATAAATGATCATTCTCTTTCATCCCTTTTATCTCTGTTTCTTAAGGCCGGTGGCCGTTATCCCTATTGTCCCTCTCACCACCCCTTTTGAACCATGCTTTTATAGGGGGTTTTTTGCCTTCCTCTGGATCATCAGCGGGTAACCGCGGGCATAGCGGGTTTTTTTTTTCTTTCTTATCTCTATAGGTTGAACTGGATGGACTTGTCTTTTTTTCAGCCTGACTAACTATATAGTTCATTTACAAGCTAGCAGCCATCTAATTGCTCACTGTAATGGGACAGAAGGGTGAAGAGTTTGGAGAAGGGAGGAGAAGTGAACAATCTAGGCCAAAATAGCTGATTTGGAAAAATTCCCCAATTCAGCTCGCTTTCCATTTCAGCGATGTTGTCCTAGATTGTTCACTTCTCCAAACTCTTCACCCTTTTGTGAATAACCCCCTTAGAATATCAGTCTAACCTTCCCACTTACTTTGTGTCCTTTGCTTAACAGGGCAGAGGATTCCTGGTCTGTCCCCTCCAACCATTATATCATACTTGACTGATAGGCCGGCCACAATCTTGCCCTTTGAGAACTACATGTTGAGAATTGTAGTTTTCTAAAGCAGCACCCCAAAGTGAGCAGAAGTGATGGGGGTCACGTGATTCTTCCTCTGGCTGCATGAATTAAACAGATGACATCACTGATGAATAGAAGGTACGTAATGAAGTGCAGCCTTCCTCTGAGGCTGCACTTCCTCCAACACCGCCGATGAGAGGAAGTGCAGCCTGACGGCAGGAGAGGGCAGAGAGACTATTATTGAAGAATTCTTCCCTCTGCGGACTCATCAATAGAACTATAAGTAAAAGACACTTGACTTCCAATGTTGCTCGGAGGAAAATAGTATCTTGCTGCTCATAATCCCCGATCATACACCTCTATATACACTATTTTATTCACCTTTTATATCAGTAGATGTGTTTTTATAAGAATTTTGTGCACTTTGGCTTGTAGCTTTTGACTGGCCATACAAATAGTTTTTATTCATATTTTTATTTTCTAATTTTTGATTGCCAGATGGAATAATTCACCTGTTTACACATTTTTCAACCAGATTTTATTTATTATTCACAATATAACTTGTTTCCACACAACAATATTTATTTATTTACATATGCTACACATCTTGCGATATTTACATTGTGAATAAATATTAAATATTATTAAACACATTTACCTTCCTTTTTTCGACTTGTATTTTCAGTATACAGCCACACTTGATCACTGGCACTGTATTTAGTTTGTGATATTTTCACATTTCCACACAACTTAAAGACCAATTCAAAGGTGGATCACACACAACCAAGCGCAGCACCCCGGCTTACACTTGATCACGTTGATAGATATTGCTGCAGCTGGTTAATTTCTGTAAATATATCCTTGCGCAACTACCCTGGTTACAGCCTAGGGCTTCTGGCTGCTGAAGAGAGCAACAAAAAGTGTTTGCAGGTACTGCTTGGTGCCCACCTTACAGTAGTGGATATTTAGACCAGATCGCTACAATAATGGTACAAATGGCTCCATGTAGCATATTCTTGGTTTAAAAAAAACAAAACTTTCTAACGTTACCCACGATCTTCCCTTCTGCTAGTTTGAGGTCATGCCCCGATGTTCTTACACTTAGCTTCATATTGAACATACATACAACTCTCCTGAATTGTATTCATAGCGTTCATGTATTTAAAGGTTATAGTCATGCCTCTCCTTTCTTTCCTGTAGGTTCTCCTAATATGTTGTATCCCTCAGACCCCATTTTTTGTTTCAAGCAACTCTATCTATCAATATTCTTTTGTAAGTGAGGTCTCTAGAAGTGGACACCTTATTCTAAATAGGCAACTTAAAGGTTTGTGGTAAATCAGCTTGGGGAAGAGTTGCAGTGTAGCCTCAAGTGCACCACCAGTGGTATTTATGATCTACAGGTGAAACTCTAATAATTAGAATATCGTGCAAAGTTCATTTATTTCACTAATGCAACTTAAAAGGTGAAACTAATATATGAGATAGACTCATTACATGCAAAGCAAGATAGTTCAAGCCGTGATTTGTCATAATTGTGATGATTATGGCTTACAGCTCATGAAAACCCCAAATCCACAACCTCAAAAAAAGTAGATTATTACATGCAATCAATAAAACAAGGATTGTACATAGAACAATATCGGACCTCTGAAAAGTACAAGCATGCATATGTACTCAGTACTTGGTTTGGGCCCCTTTTGCAGCACTTACTGCAATTACTTTTGCACGATATTCTAATTATTCGAGTTTCACCTGTATTTATATCACTTTATCAGTTACAAATAAATAGATTTGAAGTTTCTCACATGATGTGTAGAGAAAAAATACTAAATATTATTTGAGGCTTGTAAGTTAATGTGAGTGACGGTTA